ATGATAAAACTATTTTTGATAAAATTATTAAATCCATTATTGTGCAAAGAATCAGAACCATTTGTGTAGTTTGTAGTATAAACTATTGAAGCCTATACTCAAGAATCTGGTTGACCACTAAATTGGTGCTAGATAGGACAGTGGAGTTCAAGGGATTCTGGACTTGGATCCCTTGTGACAATGCAAAGACTCTAAACTGATGGCACATTTTATTCCACCCTCCAGTTATGCCTGCTGTTCTCTTAAATTGTGCCTGCAATTTCACATCCTCTATTTTTTTAAAAAAGATTTGATTAGCAGCTATAGTTAGGCATACTGAATATTAAAGTTTAGGAACTGAAAGCCTAAAAACTTTTTGTCCCAAATGCCTTATAGAATTGTGTTAAACCATGGTTTGTTTCATCATGGCTTACCAAATATATTAAAATTAATTAAATTCACATGTTGAAGCCAAAATCTAAACAGACCATATTTTGACTTAGTTACTGGGTCATTATCAGTGCAATCCCATGAAGCCTCTGGATTTGTAATGGGGTGTGTGTAAATATCTTTGAAGCAATATTCAGGCATTTTGTGAGCAGTATTCAACTCTCTTCTCTGAAATTCTGACAGTATGCAGTACACTAAATTATTAACAGAGAATCATATTTTAAGATTTCAAAAATACATACTAGTTATATGACATAACACTAGATTAAAGGTGTAATGTTGGAACCTTGTATTAGCAAGTTCTTTTTTTTTCTGTAGGTTTTTTTCAAAAGAACATGTACATATACAACAAAAATGCATATAAAAATATAACATCACAGACAGTAAGGTATATATTTCTATTTTATCTGGTTTTGTATTTTATGTTTTATTCTACTGTTATCTGCTCAGAATCCAATGAATAGTGTGGAATGTAAGTAATAGAAAGTTAAAAAGAATGTATCATTTATTACAGTTTAATATTTAATAATATTTATTAAAGTAAATATTAAAGTATCATTTTTATTGCTGCTACAATAAAAATATTCTCAGAATTTTACATAGAACATATAAATTACAACAACTACAGTAGGAATAAAACTGCAATAAAAAATGGAAAAATAATCATGAAATAAACTGCAAATAAACATAAAGATGCAATATTTATATCAGGAAAAAGTTCTCTGAAAAAAAATTGGTCTTCAAGGAACTTCTGAAGGACCAACAGAGAATTAGCTGGTTTGATATCCATAGGGAGGCTGATCCACATGGTCAGCACTGCTAATAAGAAGCAGCATCACCTCTCCTCAACTCCCCAAATCTCCCCAAAATGCAAGATTTGCTGCAGTTTCTACTTGTTATGTCTAACTCGTTGAGCTTAATAATGATGGGAGAATGTAGTTTGAAAGCATATGTGTGCCAAGCCATATAAGGCTTTTATAGAACAACACCAGTGCCTTAAATTTGACCAGATACCAACTGGTTACCAATATAGGGACTACAAAACTGGTGCAATATGTTCCCAATGTTGATCATTCAAAGGATGTGGGTGTTTCATTTTGGGCTGCTTTAATTTCTGAAAACTCTTTAAGATCAGCCCCAAGTATAGAATACTACAATATTCTAACTGGGTGTTGAGAAGAGCATGGGTTACTGTAGCCAAGTAAATAAATCTGTTCTTAGTGTAGTTTGCTTCATAAACACACACACACGCGCGCACACACACACACACACACACACACACACACACACAGAGAGAGCAGATTTCTTTATGTTTCTGTGATTATATGTATTTCAGAGTTTATTTACTGCCTTTGTTATTTTTATAAATAACTTGTCAGCAAACATATCAAAAACTATTTCCTCCTATTTTTCTCATAATAACAAGCTTGTGAGGTGGGCTAATCCAAGTAACAGTAACACAGAGTTGGAAGGGACCTTGGAGGTCATCTAGTCCAACCCCCTGCTCATGCAGAAAGGAATCTTCATGCTTAATGTAGGATTAGAACTCACAGTTTCCCAGTATCTAGCCTGATGCCTTAGCCATTAGGCTTTATTTTCTCTTTAAAAGTATGGCAGAAATGTCATTTTTACTACTATTCCGAGCAATATTATTTGACAAGAAAATTCCTCAAAATATTTCAAAGCTTTAATCAAGCATATACTTGATTACCATTTTCTGACCCTGTCCTCTTATATCATTATGAAGCATCCTCTTGTAAAGTATTATCAGAATGAAAAAATAAAACCCTGAACGAAATCAAATATTGATCTTGTTACATTACTTTCCAGGACTAGATTCATGGAAATATTAACAGTAGGAACCCAGGAATTACATTCAAGCCAAAATAAGGAGGAAAAAGTACTATAATTTATTAGCAGTTTGTTAATGCTGAAGTGAAATTTGACAAAAGCCTTGAGGCCTATATAGTTTTATCCCATGGCTCAGTATAATTTTTATATCACACCTTTGCCTCTTAAACTAAGATCCAAGTCATACAGTATGTGTGCCATTGAATCAGCTTTTATATTGGGATAGATAACTAAATGATTGAAAGCATATGTTGAGAAATGCTTGTATGGCTCTAGAACCCTTCTTTATCGCTGCTGAAATTTCATCGTATGATTTCCTTTTGAAGTTCCCTTCCTCTACGTTTTGTTTTGTTATTTTTTAACTTTATTATATTGCTTAATGTTTTAAAAATTTCTGGTTGACTGATTTTGGTTGGGTTCTTTTAAATATTAAGTGCTACCTCTTAAATAAAATTCAAAAGTTGGCTCATTTTTGCTTTAGATAATTTGCAGGTGATTTTATTTTATTATTAGTTTTTTAAAAAAATTGATTTATATGCCGCCCTTCTCCAGAGACTCAGGGCGGCTTGCAATGCGTTAAGCAATAGCCTTCATACTTTTGTATATTTATACAAAGTCAGCTTATTGCCCCCACAATCTGGGTCCTCATTTTACCTACCTTAGAAAGGATGGAAGGCTGAGTCAACCTTGAGTCTGGTGAGATTTGAACTTGCAGTAATTGCAGGCAGCTGGTCTTAATAACACTGTTAATAACCGTGCTTTAGTCTGCTATGCCAGACCAGTTATGGCCAATTCTGTACTTCAGACAAAATTACTTGTCTCCTGTACTGCTTCTAGCTGTTTTTAAAGCCAAGTTTAGAAATTCCGATCTGAATTACAGTGAGTTATCAACAGTGTCTGGCTGGTGCTTAGACTTGAACAATGGCCATTGCAAAACCTGATTGATGACATCTAGTTTTTTGTCTTTTCCACCCTTGCAGGAAAGGCAAATCTCACTGGCTGGACCCATCTACCAGTCTTCTTTTATCTCCTCACTAATCTCTGTGACTTTGCTTTACTTTCCCAGTTGTTTGCATACATGGATACCTTCACATCCCTTCCCACATAATTTTTTGGACACTAACACTGACTTTTCGTTTTTTTTCTCCCTTAGATGTTACAATAATCAAAGCATTGAGGGACAGGTTGTTCTTTCACTTTTACATTCTTTTGAAGGTCCACAGAAACTTCAAATCAAATCCTTATTATGGTCATAGGACCAGTACAGAACCTTTGTTACAAGGAAGAACAGATCGTTCAGTTTCTTAAAAACAAAATTGTTCATAACTTGCAACTTAAAAGACTAAAAAAAAAAAACAAGTAAAGAGAAGTAAAGAGCTGCATAGGCAAGGAGTGTGAAAACAAAGGTAGCAGGTTTCACTCAATCTGGGCAGGAATGGAAAGGGTGCCCAGTGAGAGGCATCAGAGTTGAATACATGACCTTTTAGACTTGTAGATATTCATTGATTTAATGGGGCATCACAATATTATTTTTTAACAAAAACCAGCAATTGCCAACTAACAGAGAGCATAGCAGCCCAATAGTTCAAGGTAACCAACCAATTGCTGGAGGGAAATATTCCCAGCAGACAGTGCATTCAATTGGATTTAAGGCTGTTACTAAAATATATCCAGGTGCTGGAGTCCTTTCGCTGTAAAGTACTTAAGATTGTCTTGAAGGAGCCAACAGCAGATTTGAACTGCAGCTGGGAAATACAGGCATTTGCAATAGGCTTGCGATGGAATGAAGAAAAATTTCACCCATGTCTGCAGTCAGGAAGTGGTGATGGTCAGTACTGGGGATAGCCCAAGCAGGAAGTGTCAAGCTGCCCTAAACTGCACTTAATGTGACTGATGTAACTAATGGAGCTTCCTTCAACTGAAAGAACCCTTCCAGAAAAATCTTACTGTTAACACTACTTTTTCATCAGTTTTACAATTAGGAATCAAAAGATACTTGCTATTCATCTTTCATCATGGAAAGATGCTATAATTTTGAAAAAAAAAAAAATTGTAAGATCGAAAATACAGATAGTCCTTGACTTATGATCACAATTGAACTCAAAATTTCTGTTGCAAAGTGAGACAGTTGTTAGGTGAATTCTGCTCTATTTTATGACCTTATTTACTGCAGTTGTTAAACAAGTCACTGCAGTTGTTAAGTTAGTAACACGGTTGTAAAGTGAATCTGGCTTCCCCATTTAATTTGTTTATCAGGAAATAGCAAAAGGTGACCATTTGACTTTGTGCCAGTGCAACATAAATATAGGCCAGTTGCCAAGCATCCAAATTTTGATTATGTGACCATGGGGATGCTGCAATGGTCATAAGTAACTTTGAATGGTCACAAAATGAAAGATTGTACGGTAAATTGAGGACTACCCATACAACAATGCTATTTAAATTGAACATTTTAAAAATCTCTATTTGTTTGATCAAGTTTTGCTAATTTTACTTCTCTAGATTTGGATTTGCTAAAAATACTAAAATAATAACAATGGAAAGATTGATTTCAGGTAAATGCATATAAAATGGAAATTTAAAAAACTGCCTAATATACAATCTGTTAAGATGTTTAGAAATAACAGGGCAGTCAATAGAAAATACAAACTTTATATTATATACAAACATTTGTGTTGATTCTGTTTTTCAACAGGTCTTTGTCATTTGTTTCTTTTTAGGTATCAGTGGGGATTCCTACCAGGAGGTGAGTGTACATTTAATTTTTTTTTTAAAGAAAGTAGATGATGATGTAGACTAACAGTCTGTTTACAGATGACAGAGGGATAATATATTACATTGAAAATAAATCTGCAAACTTTATTAGCTAGCAAAAACTTTTTTCCTAACATGTTGGCCTGGAATCTCTGTTCCTCCCTCAACAATTTTATAGTTCATTATATAGCATAGACATGGATCTTCTATATTTTGGCAGCTTGCTTGAATTCCGTATAGTTTTGTTTAAGTCTCTGAAACTGGTTTGAAAAAAAATCTGAAATATTATATAGAGAATTAGGTTTTTTAAAGTAAAAATCTTGCTGACTCTTTTCCATCATATTCTTTAAAATCCATCTTTCCCCCTATTTCCTAGGGGTATTTTTCTTATTTTTTTTCTTCTTCTTTAATTTAGTATGTGATTCTTGCTTTTTTCCTCCTTACTTTAGGGCATTGGGGCACGGTTATTGTGAAGTATAAGAAGACAATTTTAAAAAGCTTTTTAATTGATGTAATATTAGAAACTGCTTTTTAAAGAATTATAACTTTTTACAATTCAATAAAAATGTACTTAATGTTCAGCCATTTTCAGTATAGTTTATACTAAAGTGCTACAGATTCATATGTGTTTCATTTTTGTGTATCTCAGTTCTTACATTTAGGAAATCAAATGGAATTCATGGTATTAAAATGGCTTGACGGGTTCAGCATGGTTCCTTACTTGGTAGATTTGTAGAAGGAAAATATTTTTAAGAGACATGACTTGCAGACTATGCGATTCAGATTTCAGGTTCTCTGTGGTACATTGCCAGTTACTTCTTGCCATAAAAAGAAATGATACCTATGTATACTATATACAGTAGGCTAAAATGTCCTCCAAAATTGATATTGGTGCAAGCTAATACAGGTAGTCATGGACTAATGATCACATTTGAGTCCAAAATTTCTGTTACTAAGATATTAAATGAGTTTTGGCCAATTTTATGACTTTTCTTGTCACAGTTCTTAAGTGAATCACTACAGTTAGATAAGATAAGATAACATTGTCACTTTTTTCTGTGAACACACTGGCACTGCCCGCTCTCAAAAGAATACACACATACAAACACAAATATACATATATAATTTAATTACAATCCAGGGGTGAAATGCTACTGGTTAGGGCCAGTTCGCCCAAACCAGTAGTAAAAATGCTACTGATTCGCCCTTTAAAAAGAAAAAGTTCTGACGATTGCATGGTACAGCTGATCGTCGGAATTTTTTTTAAAACCTTTTAAAGCATTTTTTTTACTACCGGTTCAGGTGAATAGGAGTAAAAAAAATGCTTTAAAAAAAGTTTTAAAAAAGTTTCCGACAATAAGCTGTGACAATCAACTGTGCTGCGCGATCTTGGGAACTTTTTTTTTCTTTTTAAAGCATTTTTTTACTACCTATTGCCTGAACCAGTATTTTTGTGTAAAGTGTGATAGTTTGTTTTTGAGCTCTCTGTGACTCTGTGAAGTTCCTGCTTGTTGCAGGGGCCATTCTCCATTGCAGTGGAGATAGCATCCAGGAATGGGTTGTCCTTGTCTGCTAGCCAATAGGACTGAGTCTGTCAAAGCTGTGAGGACACGCCTACCCCAACAGTTCCCAGCTTTTTGACTCAGTCCTAGCTAAAGACAGATGTGCTTTTACTGAGGGCTTCAAATTCCTGGATACTTCTCCAATTTTCCTTTTTGACAGCTATACTACCAACGTGACAGCTATACCACCAAAGCTGCTAGCTGTATCACCACTGAATTCCAGCGAGAAGAGCTTTTAGCTCGAGCCTGCTGAGGGCCGCATTGCGGCGGGTCAGATCTCTGGCACATGATCATGACAGGGCAACCAGGTCAGGCATTGCTCGGAATGCTGACCCAGGGACTTTATGGAGCTGGGGACAATGCTCTGTTTCTTTCTGGCTAGGCGAGAATTTCGCACTTCACTATTAGCCAAAGCCTTGGACTGTCAATCTGATAGCAGCGACCATGGCTGCCGCTGTCTTTGAAGAAACCGCTTTGATGGGGGAAGCTTCAGATTGTCATCTGGGAAGCGGTGGAGCTGCAGGGGCCTTGGGATCGAGGTCCGCCAGCCGGAAAGCCCTGACTAAGAACTCTAAGAGATCAAAGGCATTTCAGAAGGCTTTAAAGGGCAGCAGACCGGGAGGCAGCCAGGTGCCAAAAGGCAATTAAGCAGGAGGTGGCCAAGCTCTTAAGGAAGCTAACCACAGGAGAGAGCCTCAGACTTCTGGCAAGGAGTCTTCCCACCAAAATGTGGGACAGGTGTTGCCTCAGCCTAAAGCTTGTAGAAGCAGGCCACCTCAGTCCCTATTGCCAGATGGCACTGCAGAGCAACATTCATCTATAGGAAGCAATCTGCCCAGCAACAGGGAGTCACACTTTGGCACCCTCCCTGATCCATTTGCAGCTTTAGTGGCCTGCCCACAGCCTTTCAGGAAAAGAGCTTCTTTTTCAGAGCTTCCTTTACCCCAGCTACAGCGGGGACCCTCTCAGGAGAGAGGCAAGACATCCATATCCCTGCTGGTATGGAAGCCTTAATTTCTGAGGCCATTAAGCAGGGCAGAGCAGCTGGCTTACAACGAAGCCAGACAGCTGCTTCTGTCAGATCTGGCCAGTCCTTACCTCTAGATCTGCCTCTTATGGACCAGGCTAAAGGGGACCTTCTGCCCACTCAGGAGACATATTCCCCTGGTTCTTCTCATCACTCCCTTTCAGAGGAAGGGATTTAGACCTGTCAGAGGATGGCTTGGCTCTTTTGTCCAGCATTATTCAAGCCCTTATTATATAAGGCTAGGAATATAACTCACTTGGCAGGCCATTTGCCAGCGCTTGACCCACCACAGTGACCCATGGCTCGCTGTTCTCCAAACGGACAGCAGAGACTGAAGTGGTGCCTTCACCATGTTTATTTTAGGATGTGGTGCAGAAACAGTAGGCGGCCCCTGGGGTAGGGCCAAATCCCAGCACCCTGGATAAGAGATTCTATAACATGGGCCCAGACTTGTCCAAAGCACTTCAAGTTCCATTGGTGGACAGCCTAGTGGCAGCATTGGTCACACTCTCTGTAATGACAGATTCACCAGAGGAGGCCCTCCGACCTGAAGACCGATGGGCAGAGCAGAAGCTAAGGAAAGCCCACCAGGCCACTGTTTGGGTGGTCAAGGCCTCCATGGTGGCCTCCGTTTTAAATAGGGCTTCCTTGATGTGGTTGCAGCAAATTCAGGACAGGATCCCTGCAGCAGACATATGGTCTCATCAAGACCTGAATAAGCTGTCCAACAGGACCAGCAACAGAAGAGGGTGGGGAGGTATAAGCAGTTTCCCTCTAGAGGGCCCTTTTGAGGGGGAGGAAGCCATTCTTTCAGACGCCAGAAGTAATTCCATCATTGACTCTCTCATTGGGGGACGCTTGGCTATGTTTGCCAGGCAATGGGAGAGCATTACTATGGATGCATGGGTTCAGGAGATGGTCTGCTCGGGCCTCTCTTTAGAGTTCCTCTCCACACCCCTGAGGTTTTTCATTCGCTGTCCCATTTCAGGGAACAGAATCAAATGAGGTCTCATGGAAACTACTATTCAACTACTATTCATGGATCTGTTGGAGATCCATGTGACCCAACCAGTTCCTGAGGACCAGCAGAGGATGGGATTCTATTCCATTCTCTTTGTGATTTTGAAATCCTCGGGGGGGGGGGGGTAATAGGACATTTCTGGACCTGTAAAGGCTGAACCGCCTTGGTTTTTTTTTTTTTATTTTAATTTTAATTTTTTTAAATTTGATTTATATGCTGCCTTTCTCCGGAAACTCAGGGCGGCTTATAATGCATTAAGCAATAGCCTTCATACTTTTGTATATTTTATACAAAGTCAGCTTATTGCTCCCACAATCTGGGTCCTCATTTTACCTATCTTAGAAAGGATGGAAGGCTGAGTCAACCTTGAGCCTGGTGAGATTTGAACTTACAGTAATTGCAAACAGCTTGATGTTAATAACAGTGCTTTAATCTGCTGAGCCACCAGGCTCCTTGTCATCTACAAGCAGTTCAAAATGCATTCACTTCAGTCCATATTGGGCAGCATCAGAAAGGGTGACGTCTATTCGTCTTACAGAGGCTTATCTCCATGTCCCGATTTTATTAGGCCATAGACAATATCCATCGCCAGGTGGTTGCTCTGTCATTGGTCCTTACTTGTGGGAGGATGGACTCCCGTGCTCACCACTCGATCATCCGCAGGTACATCAGGGGCGCAACAAACCTATGGCCTCCAGTGGTTCACTGATACCCTACTTGGGACCTCACTAAGGTACTACAGGTGCTGACTGAGGCCCCATTTGAACCACTGAGAGAGGCCTCATTGCGTTTCCTGGTAGCATTCTTGGTGGCCATAATATCGTGTTCTACTTTAACAGAGTGATTTTTTATTTATTTTTTTGCTTTAATTTATATGCCGCCCTTCTCCGGAGACTCAGGGCGGCTTACAATGCATTAAGCAATAGCCTTCATACTTTTGTATATTGATACAAAGTCAGCTTATTGCCCTCACAATCTGGGTCCTCATTTTACCTACCTTTGAAAGGATGGAAGGCTGAGTCAACCTTGAGCCTGGTGAGATTTGAACTTGCAGTAATTGCAAGCAGCAGATGTTAATAACAGTGCTTTAGTCCACTGTACTATCAGGCTCTTTCATTTGGACCCTTCCTTCATACCAAAAGTGAACTCATGGTTCCATAAGGCCCAGGAACTTATCTTGCCCAACTTCTGCCCCAATCCAGTGCATGCCCTGGAAAAGAAATGGCACATGCTGGACCTCAGAATTTATATCAAATGAACTTCCACTTTCAGGAAGGTGAAGTCGATCTTTCTGTCATTCCAGCCTGTCTCCCTAGCAGCCAAGGTCTCACCATTGACCTGGGCCACTGGATTCTGGTATGTATCACCAAATCTTACGAGAT